TAGTTGTTTACCTATGTTTGTATACTGAAGAGCTGCTATTGCCCATGGTTGATGTTTATTGCAAGAGGGATGTATTTCCATAAGAGAGGGGATGATGAAGGTAAGGAGAGACCATTAGAATTATAGGTGGAAATGTTGAAAGGACAGCAGTTATGTCACCATGGGAGAGGGAAATGTAACAGGATGTTGGCTGCCCCCCCCCAAAGAAAACCTGTCCTCCCAATTCAAACAGTCTTGGTAGCTATGGCAATAGACCTACTGGGCTCAAAATATTGTCACTGAATGCCATGTCAGTGGCTGAAATCCCATTGCTTAGCATAGTAAATTGCAATGAGAGTAGGTCAACTGATTCAATGGAATTTACAGAGGAGCTAATTTACCTAATCCCCAACTGATTCTCATTGCAACTTGCTACTCTAAGCAACAGGATTTCAGCCACTGAATAGGAAACAACTGTTATCTAGGAGTTGACCCTGGATGAGCATTGTGGGGTGGGGTGGGGGGAGGAACTCTCAGATCTGCATGTCAGGGTTCTCTGCATAGCAGCAAGCAAGACCTACCATGGGACAGCATAATTGCAGTGGTCTGACTCTACTGTCATTTCATCTCATCACCCCACCAGTTGTCAAATCCTACAATTTGCTGGATTGTCTATCAGAAAGAAGGTGGCAGGAATAAAACAGGGATTCTGTTGTATGGTCACTGGGTGTAGAAAATTAATTCCTTTTATTTAGTTAAAACAACCAGCTGTTCTTCAGCCATTATTATCTGAGTGACAAACTAAAACTTAAAAATACAACAATAGAGAGAATGGCCTTTCAGCACAGAGACAATGAATTATTTCTACAGTACCTCCTCCCCACCCACCCCTGAAGATGGGGTATAGCTGTCAGACACTGTAAAAGATGGCTTGGAAAATAGATTAAGTAATTCCTGACAATGAATTCATCTAGTGAAATGTATGTAGAAGGATGCAAATTCTAAGTTTTAGAGCACTTGGAAGACATCAAGGGAAAAGCAGGTATTTATTCTTGAACTCTCCCTCTCAGCCACTAATAACTACTGTACTTCTTTTCATATTTCTACTGAAAAATAATTCCTACATACATACTAAGCAAAGGCAGACAGATAACAAGATTTTTTCATTGTGGCATGCTTCTTATATTCTTTCATTGGAGCTCAGGGAAGAGAGAAACATTCTACGACTTATCGGAGTGTGATTGCAAAGCAATGCCAGCTCAGAAACATTACATAGGACCTGGTTTGACAAACAAACTATCTTGCAATTCAATTAGTATCCTTTAACTAGTTTAAACCTGAGCCTCTGCATTAGAGGGTGAAACAAACTAGATATCTAACTCTCAAATGGCATTAAGCAACTGTCTCTAAATATAGAATACTGTACAATTTTTTTCTCCATCACATTTTAACAGGTTAAAATATGCATGATATTTCATTCTGCTTTTAAAAATTACATTGTGGAAGTGAAATACTTTGTTATCTTCTTATGCTTTTTGCAATATAGGAAACATAAATCAAAAGTACTGGAAAACATTAAGAACTAAGCAAACTAGTACAGTGCCACTCTTGTTTAATCTAACGAAGTGAATAAACAGTTTTTCCTGCACTAAACAGGACACCATTACAAACTAGAAGAAAATTATGCCTTAAAGTTTTTTGAAAGATTGTGAAACACAAATCTTAGTCAAATGCCTTCATTTGCAGCTGCTCCATGTCTCCACATGAATCTAGGTAAAACCTCAACCTTAACCAAATTTATATGGTTGACATCATATGAAATGTAGGGGAACCAGATGATATATTGACATCTACTTGGTATTCTGATCTATTAAAATAGGGCTCCTTATTAGACAACTTGTACTCAACAGTTCTCACCTTTAAAGAACTATTATCAACCAATATGCAAAATCAGATTCAGAGCATAATGTCTAAATTACATAAAAAGAAAAAATTTAATTAGTTTCTTACAAAATTATATTTTGTATTTTAAAAAGATTGTCAAGATGTGTATTTTCATTTTATGCCTGAACAAATCCAGAGAGCAGTTTTGGGCTAATACTAATTCCTTAACAAATGCTGCATTTACATTATTTGTCACATATCAGTAAATCTGATTCACTTAACCGAAACAGGGGAAAGAACACTGAGATAATGTCATGGAATTACTGAGCTCTAGCACCACATACTTAGTAACCATGTTGAAATTTTCCCCTGCAAAACTTTGTTAATTTCATACAAGTGTCTAAGACCTAAAGAGTAGACCTTTGATCTAGATGGTCAGGATAGAAATCTAATAAATAAATAAATAAATAAATAAATTTTTTCCAACCATAGCTTGGCATGTATTGTAGTTTTCATTGCTATTGCACTAGTAAAAAATAGACAATCCTTGCACACAGACACCTAGTATTTCACACTATAGTTCTTTGCCTTGGTCTCCTTTTTTAAAGATAATTTTTTTAAAAAACCATTCTTTTTTAAAAAAATAATATGAGCTCCTCATTGGGAGTTTGATGACAAATCCCAGGCACATTAATGAAAATTAGGCTTATGTGAATACATGCAATGATACAAATTAATTGTTAAAAATTCCTTATAATGAAGGAAAAGGCAATGACCAACATTTGGTCAGTGCTCAGACAAATCATATAACACCATTCAAGAAAATGTAGCCCACTTTAATCAAACACATATGTTTGTGCAGTTTTCACAACAGTAATTGGAGCACAAATAATGTCAATTTATAGGGAATGGAGTGTCTTTCAACCCCCACATTTTCAACCCCCATCTCCTGCGCAATTATCAACAGTATTCAGCACAGCAACCTGTATGTAGAGCCAGAATCTAAAGATAGTTCTAGGTTGCTTACAGTAAACAAGCAACATTTAAAATAAACAGAATTACTTGTAGGATATTTTAAGTGTATAAAGACAAGAGAAGCAGCTGTAAAACATTCACAGGAATAAGATTATGTATGGTAATAGTTATTGTGCACTATAAAATGCCTCCAGATATAATTTTAGAGTCACATCCTGCCATTAAGGAAGGTCTGAGCTCTCAAGGTCTTAACTATATAAAGTGTAATCCTCCAGGAAATAGAGTAAACAATTATCTAGTCACTTGGTATTTTTTGCTATTTCAAGAATTCAGGCACTGATAGTGCTCATCGCTTCAGTATCATCTACAACATATTAAGAATCTTTTCTTCACAGTCTTTTCATTCCACAGTTTTGTAAGAACCTTTTTCATACTGCCTCTCTTTTAAGACATCACTAAGACAAATGAGAAAATCTGTTCCAACATACCTTTCTCAGTAGTTTTGTCCATGCACTGTTTTGGCATGTCTATGTTGCGCAGTTCCTCCGTACTTGCGTATTTCATGACATTATTGATAGAAGATAGAGTGCTGATGAGCTGAGAATTAAGAGAGCCAATTTGTGAGTGAGGTTCTCCAAATGCATCTGCTAGCTCAGCATAGTTTTCAGCAAGAAGCATCTGCTGTTCTTGAACGAGCTTCTGAACCCGTTCTATGTAGTGATCCAAGCCAGCCCTCATCTCAGGCAGAGGGAATGAACTCTCCAGCGCAGATTCATCCCCAACACCAATACTTCTAGTACAAGGTGGTGCTACAGAGATTGGAGGGGGGCCACAGGCAATATTTCTCATTTTGAGGCCAACTAAATAGTTCTCATGGATACTAATCTGCCCTACCCCACAATCTTTGGTCTTTATTAGGGAAGACTTATCGAAGCTAGCAGTGGTAGAAAGCAGAGTCCCCACGCCAATGGAACGTGTTTTAGCAGCTACATTTACGTCCTTGACTCTTCCGTCCCCGACAGCCACCGTCCTCATCTCCACTATCACAGTGTTTGTCTGTTTGTCGTAAGTGCTCAGGAAAGTATTCGTACTGGAATCAGTAAAGGTAGCCACTTCTGTGTTGGTACACTGGTCGGTCGTTTCTAATACTGTATTGGTTCCCTTCGTAGCTGTACAAGGCACTGCCATGACTCCAGAATCTACTTTGCAATCAAGCTCTGTATTGGTGCCACAGGATATGGTCTCATTTGCTGGACAAAGTGTCACATTCGAACAATCTCCGCAACCTATTGACCGCACTTCCTTGATTTTCAGTTCTGTCTTGCACAGGCTTAGTTTTTCCACAGACTCCTCTGTATTGACCTCAGTTTCGCAGACACTCACTTCTGTGCCAACACACTGGTTGCAAGTCTCCACAGAGCTCCCTGTGCACCGGTCACACACATCTTTCCTCTCCTTCACAATCCACCAATTCATAGGCACATCTGGACCCACAGCTGTACTTTGCAATGTTGGACAACACAATATTCCAACACTGCTTGTTTGGAGACAGCTACCCACACATGAATCGACAACATCCACGTGATTCCCCACTATTTGGTCTCTTGTTTGTACTAATGCTTCCACTGCTCTACTGAAGACAAGGGGCTGTGCCATCAGTGACTTGTCCATTTTTTTTCTGGACCCAGCTGCCTGCAGCTCATGCTTTAATTTGGTCATCTCTCTGTCATGGGTTGCTTCCCTCAGCTGAACCTCCAGCCGATAGATTTTGTCTTTAAGGGCTTCAATGGTCTGATGCTGAAGCTCTATTTCCTTCTCTGCCTCTGTAGACAGACCAAGCATTCCCTCTGTTACCCCTACAGTAGAATCTTTAGTCTTAAGCTCTGTACCTACTGCTACATCCCTGCCTACTCTCAAAGCTCTATTGTACACAACAATGTCATTGACACTTTCATCATCACCTACAGCAACTGACCTGTTTTCTTTTGCTACACTTGCTCGGTTCACTCGCAGATTAGAAGGGATATCATAATTGCTGTCCTGGATTTTCTTCTCCAAGGCTTGCATTTCAGCTGTCAACTGCCTAAACTCTTCTACCCTCTCTGAGCTGTGCTCTGCACAACCCACATCTTCCTCACAGTCTATATAGAGCTCTCCACCTCCTCTGGCAGGAGAGAGATGCTTCCAATGCTCTGCATTTCCTGCACTGTAAGACCGCTTTCTAAAGTGGCCTGTGTCATTCTGGTTAACTATTCTTTGGTTTTTGAGTTTTGCCATAATTTGCCGTTTCTCTTCCTGCAATACCGAAATCTTGACCTGGAGAACAGGAATAGTTTTGACTTGCTCCTCAAGCTCTTTTAGGCGTTTGAGAGCAATAGCCATTTGTTCCCTGATGTGTTGCAGGTGGACTGGGCTTACATTAGTCACAGGGGTTGATACACCTGAACTGAAAGGACTATGACGGATGGAACTGCCCAGAGAAGATGCTAGATGAAGATTATACTCTCCATTGCCTTGATACCCATTCTGAAACTGCTGGGATGCCTGGCTTTGCCCACTGGATCCTACAAAGGAAGGAAGTGAGCTTGTTGAGCCCATTGCTCCAAAGCTAGAAAGCCTAGGCCTCCGAGCTTCTCCCGGGACCGCTTGCATTGCGATCTTTTCCTGCTCCAGTCTTCTCCGGGTTTCCATGAGAGTTTTTGTGACACGAAGATTGTGCCGAGGCAGCTGTGGTGAAGGAGGCAGGAGTTGTTTGCTTTCAGGGATGGTTAGGAAGTTAGGAGAGGCTTCAAAGGATAAGGATGGCCTTGTGGAGGTGGCAGCAGCTGCTGGTGGAAGTGCTGGACTTTGCGCGGAGAAGAGTGAAAATGAATGTTTGTTTTCATCACTGTTGGATGAAGAGAGAGATTCATTTGATGTCCATCCGCTGCACTGACTGGAGGTGGTGTTTTTAATAGCTGTAAAAGGTGGTATTGCTTTCCGCTTTTTCTGTATGTTCAACTTTTTTATAGTGTTTCCCTTTTGTATATCTTCCACGTACTTGAGAAAATCCAAGTCAAGCTGATAGCCATATGGCGTTTCCACAAAATAGGGATCCTTTTGATCTCTGTCATCCTCCCCATTCAGTGTGTTTTCATCTTTTTCTGAAAGAGAAAACATATATTAATGCCCATGATCTTACATAAAAATTAAACTACAGGCAATCGTTCTTGGCATCAGAATCAGTATTCCATATCAGAAAAGCTATTATATTTTTCTTGACTCAGCCTTTAAGATATAGGCAGTTTTCATTTGAAGACTATGTTAGCTGAATTTAAAACAATGAGGTATATGTATAGATTTGTGATGAGTTTTGCACAAAACAGTTTTTTAAACCCATTCTTTCTAGAGACCATCTAATAATAAGCATACAGAAATGCTCTGTTTCTAGGACATAAACCTGCAATAAAGGTTACAGGATTCTTAAGGGTTACACAAACATTTCTTTCTCAATTAGCTAATCAGAAACCTGTTAGCAGACATGTGAAAGTCAATACTACTCAAATTCTGTCTAAACAAGCAGCACATCTCTGCTTAGAAGCACATTCATTTGTGACAGTTCATGCAGCTTTCTATACTGTGCAGAGCTGGCATACTATGAACTATGCAAGCAGACCCCTTTCCAGTGCAGTCTAAAATATCTAAACTGAAAAAGAAACTGCCGGCTCAGATGTCAAGGCAGCTTGGCTTCCTGCAGACACAGGAGATGCATGTCACACCAAAGTATTCTAAATAAAACTGGACCAGATCTGGTGAGGATCTGTAAGCAGAATATTTATACCTATGCTAGCTGTATAGCCTCTTTCCCACTTATCCCCGGTCACAGAATAATAAAGACTACTGAACATCAGCACCAATGCCTAGTGATTTCATTTTCATTACCTTAAAGCTTTCCTGCTTTTCAGTCTACATGGATACACGAAATACATTAGACCTAGACTATTTTCTGCAATAACAAGTTCATATGTCCTGCAAAAATCCCTGCCTCTCGACTTTCTCATTCTTCACCCCATAAAGGGAAAAAGTGCCCAGCATTAGTAGAAATGCAGCAACACATATTAGAATGTTTCATAAACTGAGTCTTCTTTAATGAGTTCATAAAAAAAAAAAATAGAACTAGCAGGGGGCACATGTACTTTCTTTTTCCACTCCATTTCAGTACGTATTTGTATGTTAACAGAGCAGCTGTTTTAAGTATCCTATAGCCAAAACTCAGCTCCTTTTTAGAATATTTCTTGAAAATATTGATATATATAATATGCAGTTCTTCAATTTGTTCCTTTAAACAGCTATTGTTCAGAGTACCTGAAGACCACCAACATATCCTAAACCACTCAAAAACCAGAGTATGACCCATCATCCCTAAAAATTTAAAAAACAATTTAAAAAAAAAATTACTTTGTACACCAATAAACCCTAAAAGCTGGAAGGCAGTGGATATGTACACACACTTTTCCTCTCTAGTGTGTAGTGCAAAGTTTACATTAATACATAACATTATGTGTGAAAATCATGCTGACTTTCTATAATCATGTACAAGTGATGTTAAGAGTGTACAGTTCACTTACTTCTGTGGGCAATCATAAAATGCATGCTTGCAAAAACCTAATCACGTGAGATGTCATTGTTTTGAACACAGGTAGTATATGCTAACAAAGGCACGCCACAACAGGGCCACCAGGAAAAGAGGAGGGAGTCATATGGTGGTGTGTTTGTGTATCTGCCAAGGTTTGATGAAGTACAGAACGTACTTTTTCAGAACTTAGGAGAGGAATTTGCATGAATCACAAGAAGTTCCAGATTCAATCCTGAAAAACTCTAGGAAGGGCCGGGAAAGATCTCTGTCTGAAACCCCAAGCATTTATTCTCTCTCTCTCTCTCTCTCTCTCTCTCTCTCTCTCTCTCTCTCTGAGGGACAAGTAAGGAAAAGGACAATGAATATGATTCAAGTCCAACAAAGCATACTGAGAAAGAGGCACAATCTCAAAACTCTTAAGCAGAGTTAATGCTACATAAATTACAACACCACCAGTAAAGCAGTCAGTAATGCAATCAAAATTAATTCAAAACAGTATAAGTCTTAAATGTATTGCCAAAAAACAAAAGTATCTGCCTGTAGATATAACAACAAAAGAAGTGAAAGGCAACCATGATTCCAAAAAATAAATTAAAAAAATAAAAAGGCATAATAGGAAGATTGCAATAAAAATACAGTAAAGCAGAAACTATTTATGCATTATTAAACACAGGACAGTGGCTTTACTTCCATTTAAGGAAAGGCCAGATACAATTCCCAGCCACCTATGACCTCTTGTCCCAACCAGTAAAACTACATTCTGTGATGCAACTGGTGCTATCACGCACCCACAAGATATTCTAAGGCTTCCAGTTTCCACCAGGTGCTTTCATTCCCCAAAATATGTTTATTTCCAAATTTTGTGGGTCTAGGGGCACAAGGCCTATTCCTCCCCATCATATCGGTATTTGTTACAGCAGTTATGACTTCCATAAGAGGGAAACAAGAGGGAGACGACAAATGTAATTATACCATCCCCATTTTCCACCTCAATCTTTCAAATTGCACACTGGCCAACATTAGATAGTAGGGAAAAGGGAGAAGTGCATGAACAAAAGCAATTTGCTCAACATTAAAAATTATCCTCTATGCCTAAAGGCTCATGCAAGCTGTAGGAACCTGAAGATGACTTTTTTTAAATGACAACCTCCTCTCATTCTTTAGACTGGAATGGGTGGATTACCACATAGCCTGGTTCCAAAAATTTACCCTCATCTTTGCTTCTCTGGCTGAGCTATTATGTAAAACAAGATGGCAGGCAGTTACTTGGTTGGGCCAGAAAACGTTCAGACTTTAGAAGGTGCTACCTGTTGGTATGCAGAACTTCCAAACACTACATCCAAAATAATACTTTGTTTTTTATTTTCTAGGAGAGATGTTACATATAACAATTGCTGGGGTCTGAGAGTGACAACATCCATAATACAGTATCTTCCTGAAGTTTCTAGTTTCCTAGCAAGAGTGAGTAAGAATTAGCTCATTTCCTTTCTAGCAATTTCCCATCTAAAAGAGGGAGGCTTGGCAACCTGAGAGGCTTGGCAATTTTTATTTAATTGAAACACACTTGTGGTCCTCAGAAGCACCTCTCAACAGGAAGTTTAAAGCAAGCCCTAAAAGATGATAAGGAAGATATCAGAGTACTTTGGGAGCCCATCACTGAATGGACTGTACAACGACAGGGCACAGACAATGCAATAGGCAGATAAGAATAACCACTGATACTTTTTATAAGGACAATATAGAAATATTTCATATTCACATATGATTTACAAACTTTTCCATCATTTGGTGGAAAACCAAGATATAAATTTCACAGATAAATTACAGTATCCATTTGTGTGCACCATGATCTTTTGCAAGTATTCCAGGTTTTGTTTGGTGTTTTTTTGTTTTGTTTTGTTTTTTACTTGCTGCCACCATTCTTCTCAGGCTTTGGAGAAGGCCTCTTCAAAAGATAATTTCAGACAAGCAAATATGTATCCTCCATAGCTATGGAGCCTCTTGGCACACTGTTTAAATTGCAGGACTGCTGCTAAAACTCTGCTCACAACCTGAGTTCAATCCCAGGTAGTCAGCTCAAGGTTCACTCAGCTTCCATCCTTCCAAGGTCAGTGAACTGAGTACCCAGCTTGCTGGGGGAAATGTGTAGTCTGCATAACTAAATGGTAAACTGCCCCGGGAGTGCTTTAAGTGCTATGGGGCAATATAATAGCCGTATGCTTTGCTTTTCCCCTGCCTTCAGGCAACTTCTGAATTGGATCAAAGCTCCTTCAGTACTAATTATTGACAAATTCTATTCCCAATCCCCCACTTCTTGCTCTAAACACTTTTTTTAAAAGTGACAAAACATATTCCCCTTCTCTCATAATCTTTTAATTTATAAGCTCTGTCATATTAGCATAAACTATGGGAGAAGATGGCAGAGACCCGTGTTTGTATATTTTGCAAGTACACAAAGACTCATTCTATAGAATCAAGAAATTAATACATGAAAAAATCTGATATTTCTTAAATGTATTTAGAATAAATACTGAGTGCCTATACTGAATGCATGCACAATGCTTTCAAAACACACCCAATATTTTCTAATGTTTGAATCCAAGCAGTGTCTGGTTTAATGAGAGACCACCAAGGAATATTGGAGATTTCCAGGCAGGACTAGGAAATAATTCTGACTGAAACCCTGGAGAGCTGTTGTCAGTGAAAAATGACAGTATGGGGCTAGACAGAACTGAGGCAGCTCCCTATGTTTTCATAGTTATGTAATGAACAACACACAAGCAATATCTGGGGGAAAACAATGCTGTGAAACTCTGGTAGGCCCCTCTTAAGTGCTAGAACTCCATTACAAAATCCTGTTGCTTAGCAGAGTTGCCAAAATCCTGTTGCTTGGCCCATTAATTCACATTAGAATAGGCCCACTGAATCAATGGGTATTTGGTGAATCATTTTCTCAATAAGTTCCACGTTCAAGTGAGCCTATTTTTAACTGTGACTTACTACATTTAAGTTGCCGTTAGGGTAGACCCATTTGAATCAATGGAACTTACAGAAGAGTTGACTCGCAACACCCACATTGATTCAAAATCCAGTGTGATTTACTATGCTAAACAACAGGATTTTGGCTATTGATACAGGTGTAACTCGATTAACATTAATCTCAGCCAGCACTGTACACTGTATTTTGACTTTTACCCCTCCTGTAAATAATAATAATGAATATATCGCTTAGGATATTTATTTATTTATTTAAAACCTTTACAGTGGGGTCTTGTCTTGAGAACTTAATCCGTATTAGAAGGCGGTTCTCAAGTCAAAAAGTTCTCAGGTCAAATCTGCATTTCCCATAGGAATGCATTGAAAACCATTTGATCTCATGGGTATTTGGTGAATCAATTTCTCAATAAGTTCCACGTTCAAGTGAGCCTATTTTTAACTGTGACTTACTACATTTAAGTTGCCGTTAGGGTAGACCCATTTGAATCAATGGAACTTACAGAAGAGTCGACTTGCAACACCCACACTGAT